GCAGGGGGCGTGGCCCGCCGCAATGGGCGGGGCGCTGGGACACGGGGGCGCTCGGGCACCCACCCGCCGGCCGAACTACAACTCCCGGCGTGCCCCGCGGCGCCCGGCACGGCGGCGCGCGCAAAGCATGCTGGGCGCTGTAGTCCTCGCCCGCTCCCTCCGCGCGGGGCCCCTCTTCTGCTCTCCCCATGTACAGATATATAATCTCTATATAATATATACTGCCCGTATACAGATATATGTATATCTATATAACATATAGTGTCCATATACAGATATATATCTATATCGCATATACTGTCTATATACAGATATATATCTCTATGTAATATATACTGTACACGGCTTTGTCCCTCGGGGCGGGTGGGCACACGGCTGCTCACACACATGAAGGCGGAGGCGGTGGTCCCGTGCCAGGACCCCTGGGACAAGCAGTGGCACAACATGGCACAGGGGACCGTCGGCGAAGCGTCAGGGACATCGGGGGTCCAGGGGCACTGTGGACGCTCAGTCCTTGATGTTGGCCTCGGAGACGCCCTGGGCGCGCAGCTCGGCCAGCACGTTGTCCAGGTAGTTGGGGTCAGGGTAGCCGTGGCCCGTGAGGTTGGAGCCAAACTCAGTCTTGTGGTGGATCTCATTCCACACCACGGTGTCCGACTCGCCCGTGGTGCTCGAGGTGCCCACGGTGAAGATGAGCCGCCGCTCCCAGGCCACCAGCAGCAGCTTGAGCACCTGCGTGGGGACACGGATGTCACGCGCCTGCCGTGAGCTCAGCCCCCCACTGCGCACCCGCGCCGCCGCGCTCACCTTGCGGCCCTTCTCAGTGTCGGGCAGGTAGCAGTGCCGCGGGAAGCCGCGCGCCGTGAACCGCTTGCCGGGATTGGGGTGCTCGGGGCCCTGGTGGCAGTGGCAGGGCGGAGCGGGCGCCCACCTGGACGCGGCGGCCCCTCCGCGCAGCGCTCACCTGGATGCCCGTGGGGATGTCGTAGATGATGCGGATGGTCTTGGAGTCACTGTGGCCCGGCAGCGAGTGGGGGATGAGGTGAAACTCCATCTTCCCCGGGGGCTGCGTGCCCGTCTTCTCCCCGTAGATTGCCTTGCATGTGGGGCACTGCAGGCTGCCATCCTGGGGGGCAGCACCTCAGGGGCCAGCACCCTGGGTGCCCCCTGGGCACTGGCGATGCCCTGGCAGCACCCACATCCCATCCCTGTGTCCCCACAGGCACCGGTGATGCCCCAACAGCAGCCACGCAGAGTCCCGGCAGCACCCGTCCCTGTGTCCCCACAGGCACCAGCAATGCCACCCCAGGCGCC